ACATATACACCATGGAATACTACGTAGCCATAAAAAAGAATAAAATCATGTCCTTTGCAGCAACATGGATGCAGCTGGTGATTATACTAAACAAATTAACACCGAAATATAAAACCAGATACCGAGGCCAGGTTCAGTGGCTCAGGCCTGTAATCCCAGCACTTTAGGAGGCTGAGGTAGGTGGATCTCTTGAGCCCAGGAGTTTGAGACCAGCCTGGGCAACATGGTGAAATCCTCTCTCTACAAAATTTCCAAAATATATTAGCCAGGTGTGATGGCATGGCCTTGTAATCCCAGCTAACTGGGAGGCTGATGTGGGAAGATTACTTGAGCCCAGGAGGTGGAAGCTGCAGTGAGTCATGATGTGCCACTGCACTCAAGTGGAACCCTGTCTCAAAAAAAAAAAAAAAAAAAAAACAGAAAAAGCAAGACCAAATACTACATGTTCTCACTTATAAGTGGGAGCTAAACACTGGATGCACATAGACACGAAGATGGGAATGATAAATTAAAGAGAGAGGAAGCAGGACAAAGACTGAAAAACTACCTCTGGGATACTATGCTCACTACCTTTGTGATGGGATCATTCACACCTCAAACCTCAGCATCATGCAATATACCTAGGTAACAAACCTGTGCATGTACCCCTGAATCTAAAATACAAGTTGAAATTATTATTTAAAAAAAACGTTGGCTCACACCTGTAATCCCAGCACTTTGGAAGGCTGAGACGGGTGGATTATGAGGTCAGGAGATCGAGACCATCCTGGCCAACATGGTAACATGGTGAACATCTACTAAAAAAACAAAAACTTAGCCAGGTGTGGTGTCACACGCCTGTAGTTCCAGCTACTGGGGAGGTTGAGGCAGGAGAATCACTTGAACCCCAGGAGGCAGAGGTTGCAGTGAGCCAAGATTGTGCCATTGCACTCCAGCCTGGGAAACAGAGCGAGACTCCATCTCAAAAAAAAAAAAAAAAAAAAAAGGTGGTGTACTCAGAGAAACACTGGTCTTCCATGATGAGCAGAACATGGGTGAAATATTGCTTAGAAATTGACAATTGCGGTTTTTGAAAGTCTTTTCCTAAAGACCCCTCCTTTTTGTCTTTTTGTATGTGCAGTTTTCATTCTCATGTCTTCCTGACGTTGAACCACTTTTTTTCCCTTGAGACTTTCATTCAAGCTTTTCTTCTATAAAGCCTAAGAAAGAGTAAGCTACCTTGTCACTGTATGTGCACAGCATCTTGTGGACGTATTTTAGGACTGAGCCATTTTTTAGGTATATGACCGTCAGCATGATTAGTGCTTTGGTAAATAACAAAGATTTAATAAATGCTGACTATACCATATAAAATTGTAACTGATTTTTTTTTTTTTGAAACAGAGTTTTGCTCTATCACCCAAGCTAGAGTGCAGTGACACAACCACGGCTCATTGCAGCCTTGACCTACTAGTCTCGAGTGATCTTCCTACCTCAGCCTTCCGAGAAGCTAGGACTACAGGCATACACCATCATGCCTGGTTAACTTTTTAGTTTTTATGGAGACAGGGTCTCACTGTGTTGTCAGGACTGGTCTCGAATTCATGGGCTCAAGCTCTCTTCCCACCTTTGCCTGCTACAGTGCTGAGATTACAGGTGTGAACTACTGCACCTGGCTTTATTATTATTACTAGAAACAGGATCTCACTATGTTGCCTGGGCTGGACTCCAACTCCTGGACTCAAGCAATCCTTCCACTCTAGCATCCCAGGTAGCTGGGACTGCCAGGTACACACCACTGTGCCTTGCTTGTAACTGATCTTTAAAAAAAAAAAAAAAAAAAAACTCGTAAAAATTTTAGACACAAAAAAGTTTAGAGAATAGAATAATGAGCCTCTAAGTCCCAGAAAATTTGACTGCTTTTCAGAATATTATGCTCATTATAAGAGGAAGGCAGTGGGTCAATTTTGAATCGAGTCCTATACTCTGGAAACTGCTAGCAGATATGGGGCACAAGCAAAGGGAAGTGTATCCTTGCCTATAATATTTGGTGGGGAAAAAAGTTCATTGTACTTATTATGATGAAAAACTACAGGTAGGAGAGATAAGAGCTGATACATTTGAGACCCACTTGGGTCCTGTCCCACAGTCCCTTTTCTCTTCTGTTCCAAAATACTTATAAGCCTCAAAGAGACATGGTGGTTACAGGTTTGGACACTGGAGATGGACAGGCATGGATTGGATTCAGCTTTGTTACTTAGGAAAAATTTAAGCCTTTATTTCCTCATCTGAAAATAAAAAATGGGTCAAATAATAGTGCCTGTCTCAGAAGTTTGTTCTGATAATTAGACACTGTTAGGTACATAGAGAACTTGGTATATCCCATTTTTCATTGATTTTGAGATTCACACTTTAACGTCTCTGACATATGTCTAACAATCAGTGATGTCATGATTCAGTTGCTAGCATTTTCTTTCTCTCTTGGAAATTCACAAAATAATGGTGAACTTTATGATTGATGGGTCTTAGATTTCATGACATATTATAGCAAGTGGTTAATAAATATTAGTAATCAAAATAATGATGAGTTCCCTTAATTCTCCCAATCAAAGTTTGTATCACAGAAATTTTCTCTATTTTGTCTGTCATTGAGGAACCGTGTAAACTTGGGCAAACCTTTTAACTTCTGTTGAGATTCTGTCTCAGAATCTCTGTTCCTTCCAGCATTAAAGTCCTAAGATATGATGGGTTCTTTGGAAGTCAGTTAAGATGAGACCAATGTAAGTGTGCAAGAATGTGCAGGGCACCTCATTGTACTCATAAGCAGTCCGTGGGATGAATCCTTTTGTGTCCATGAAAGAAACAACTCTTTCACACTGCTGCTCTGGCACATCCAGGACATCTGGCCACCAAAGCAGATGTATGGAATGGAAGTCCCTGGCTTCCTGTCTGTTATGGAGATAATTATGTAGTTCTGGGAAATTCTTCTCTAGTGGTCTAGCCATGTGGTTGGCATAGCAAGATGGCAGAGTGGACATAAACAACTCTAAGAATGACTGGAGACATTCAGTGGGCATTGGCTTTTCTGAAACGCCACCCTCATCTTGTTGCCAATTTGTCATTATTTTAAACTTTTTCGACTAAAGTTTCTACCCTTAGAATTGCCCCTCTGGGTTACACAACAAAACTGGGAGCTTAGTAAGTGTTAAAAAATATTCAATATGGGATCACTGAAGGGACGTAAGAAGGGATGTCTTCTCCAGTCATCTCCATGATCACATGAACATGAGACCATTATCTGGCTAGTGGTCTCCACGAAGAGTTGGAAACCATTGAAGTTCTAGTCTTGAGGATTCAGTGATCATGGGGTGATGGGTAAAATGATAGCAGGAGAGAGGAAATATGGTCGAAACAGTTCCTGGGATATTTGACAAGGGAGGAAGTTATCTAAGAGACACTAGTGAGAAAGTGAATATGCTTAGGTGAATGCCACCTACATTGTTATTTTGCATAGGGCCATCTTGGATAAATCTAGGTATGATATGTCCGTAGTAAATTTGTGTTTTATCAGAGTATTTCTATTTATATTACCTCATTTTACAATAGTTTTGTGATGTATGTTGGGCAACTATTACCAGGGCTGATTCACAAGTGAGGAAGTAAATGTGGATCAGCACCACAACAGACCTAGGAATGGGGCCAGGATCCACACTCCGCTCTCCCCATTCCCAAGTCCATCCTTTTTCTGCTTTTTAAAGGTGCCTTGCTTGCCTTGTTTCTGCAAGAGTGAGGTTTGGCTCACCGCTGAACCTCACTCTTGCAGAAACAAGGCAGGCAAGGCACCTTCCTCACGTTACAAACCAGGTCTCCAAATGCAGAATTGGTCTGATATATTTCCGTGAACTGAGCACCATAAATTTGGTCTACATTGTCATTATTATGTGTTGTGATGATATTTTTCTTTCTCTTCCAGAAAATGCACTCTGCTCTTTAACATACAGACTAGATCTGCAGGGAAAAAAAAGAAAGAAAAAAATTAAAAAATATCAGAAAGGACTAATGCTTTCTGTTTTTAGAATATGGTAAATTTAATTTTCTCCTGAAAGTTTCTGTAGAATGATGGTTTATTTCTGGCATGGAATGTAGCCAGAGTTTCAATGGGAAATAGAGAACTCCGAAATGAGTGAACTCTATTCCAGAGAGAACATTAGAGAGAGATAAGGTTTGCCAGCAGAGTGGACTCTCCAAAGACAAAACTTCTGGTTTTGCGTGTGTCCCAACTTTGGCTGTTAACCTCAAACTGAGAGGCAATGGTATAACCTGGAAACCTATGGAGAACTGGGCTGAGATTTTCTTCTAAGCAGGTCAAATCAATTCCAAGTGTCATGGTTCTCCCTCCAGTCTTAATCAATATTCAGGACTTCGGGAGAATGATGCCTTGAACGATAATTAGTGGTGATGGGGGTACTACACACTTTGCTGGTCATCAGCATCCCCGGCTTGTTAAGAACGCTTTCATAGAATGTCAATACAAAGGAGGCTTTTTTGGTTTTCTTTTCAGATTCTTTTATGGTTTTAAAAATATTTATTGTTATTATTAACCCTTTGTAGAGCAGTTAATTGAGCAGAAACTATAGAAAGTGCCTGTATATTCTAGTCCCTTCACCCTTCTCTGCAGCCTCCCCCATAATCAACATCCCCACTAAGTGGCATATTTGTTAAAATTAATGAACCTACATTGATGCATTGTTATCACCCGAAGTCCTCAGTTTACATTAGGGTTCACTCTTAGTGTTGAACGTTCAATAGGCTTTCAAAGTTGTATACTGATAACTATCCACCATTGTAGTATTATACTGAAGAGTTTTACTGCTTAAAAAATCCTCTATGGGCTCACGCCTGTAATCCCAGCTGAGGCAGGCGGATCACTTGAGATCAGGAGTTCGAGACCATCCTGGCCAACATGGTGAAACCCCGTCTCTACTAAAAATACAAAAATTAGCCTGGCGTTTGGTACCTACCTGTAGTCCCAGCTACTTGGGAGGCTGAGGTGGAAGAATTGCTTGAACCCAGGAGGCCGAGGTTGCAGTGAGCCAAGACTGCAATACTGTGCTCCAGCCTGGCTACCGAGCAAGACTCTGTCTCAAAAAAAAAAACAAAAAATGTTGTTCAAACTCTATTTGTTGTAACATCAAACACAGATATAAAAGTCTTCAGCATATAGAACCTCCACCCTACAATGTTAATTAAAACAGGAAGGAAACTCTCTGGCAGAATCATTGGAAACTTTCAGGTGTGATTTTTTGGAGGTGAACATGGGGGCAGAGGCAGAGTCAATTATTTTTTAGGAGTTTCATTGGATTTTAAAAACCTTTTCTTTCAAAGTTGTTAACTGAAATGTCATAAATGAGTTACATTGTTCACTGATCCCTTCCCCAAACAAAGAAGAACTTGCTACTTGGAGGCCCCTGATCAATCATTAGAGTTTGAAGTGCAAGAAAGGAAACATTGTTGACTGGAGATGTTGTTCCTAGACCTCCACAGGCTTTGCAAGTATCTTGGCAAATGCAGTTAAATAAAACATGGAAAAAGAACAGAAAATGAAACACCGCATATCCTCACTCATAGGTGGGTGATGAAAAATGAGAACACATGGACATAGAAAGGGGAGTACTAAACACTGGGGTCTATTGGGGGGAAAAGGGGAGGGCCAGTGGGAGGGGGAGGTGGGGAGGGATAGCCTGGGGAGAAATGCCAAATGTGGGTGAAGGGGAGAAGAAAAGCAAAGCACACTGCCATGTGTGTTCCTACGCAACTGTCTTGCATGCTCTGCTCATGTACCCCAAAACCTATAATCCAATAAAAAATTAAAAAAAAAAAAAAGATTGTAGTTGTCTTGCTTTTTCTCACTGCATTTCAGATGTAATGAGAAGAAAATCACTAGTTTATGATAATCTTATATAGTTGAGTTTGATAAGAATGACTTAGAAATGCTTCCCAATTAAAAAAAAAGAAAGAAATCAAAGTCCAATAAAGACCCAGAAGAGAATAGAAATTACTAAAAGTTACAGGTTTTAAAAATTTAGTTTCAAGATATTTATCTGAAAAATCATAGACCAGTGTAGATAAAAATTAACATTGTCCTTCCATATTAGCATTTGGTGTTACCACTTGACAAATACTTAAATATTGAATGTCTAATGAGAATTTACTTCCCAATTAGATTTTTTAGTTGTTTATTTTCACGTTTCTTGAGGCAAGCGGTACAGAATGTAGTGGCCAAGGTCATGGCGCAGGAGTGGTTTGAAACCCTGCTTCTCTATTTACTGTGTGTCTGACCATGGGCAAATTACTTAACCCCTCTCCTCCCCAGTTTGCTCGTCTGTAAAATGACGGTGATGAGAGTCCTTATCTCTTGCGGCAATAATGAGGATTCAATAGGACAGCTCACATAAAACTCTTAGAATGGGGACTGGCATTTAGTAAGAGCTCAATAAATGTTAGCTATTTTTATTTTAAGTTCTGGAATACAAGTGCAGAATGTGTAGGTTTGTTACATAGATACATGTGTGCCGTGGTGGCTTGGTGTACCTGTCAACCCATCATCTAGGTTTTAAACCTCGGTTACAATACTGTTTGTCCCAAAGCTCTCCCTCCCTTCACCCCCTACCTCCGACAGGCCCTGGTGTGTGTTGGTCCCCTCTCTGTGTCCATGTGTTGTTCTCTTCGTTCAACTTCCACTTCTAAGTGAGAACATACGGTGTTTGGTTTTCTGTGCCTATGTTAGTTTGCTGAGAATGATGGCTTTTGGGTTTATTTTTACTTACGTCATGCCAAACCATACAATGTTATGAAAATTACTGTGATTATTGATCAAACACATAGGCCATTGGAGGAAAAATAAAATAAATTCTCAATGTTTACAGAAGAATACAGGAAACTGCTTTTCTTAAAATGTATTCACATGGTCTTTCATTCCTAAAGAAGCTGGTGTTGGCCAGGCACGGTGGCCCATACCTGTATACCTGCACTTTGGCAGGCCAAGGCAAAAGGATTGTTTGAGCTCAGGAGTTCCAGACCAGCCTGAGCAACACAGTGAGACCTTGTCTCTACAAAAAAATTAAAAAATTATCCCAGTATGGTGGTGCATGCCTGTAGTCCTAGCTACTCGGGAGATTGAGGTGGGAGGATTGCTTGAGCCCCGGAGTTTGAGGCTACAATGAGCCATGATTATGCCATTGCACTGCAGCCTGAATGACAGAGCAAGACCCTGTCTTAAAAAAGGAAGCTGGTGTTAATCTCCCCTTCATGTAACCCACTGCACAGATGTGTGTAGCTCCAAGTGCACACAGCCTTCCGTCTCTCGGCCTAATGTAACAGGACAGTGGAGCTGGCGGAATTACAGGCAATTTCAACGAGGGGGAATAGGTAGGAAGGAAACAGCTGGAAATCCCTGGAGTAACCTTACTCGTCTGATCAAAAGTACACGTCAGACTGGCAGAACTCTTGTTCGTGTTCGAAACCAAAGGTTGGTAAACTTTTTCTATAAAGGACCAGATAGTAAATAGTTTTAACTTTTGGGCCATACAGTATGTATCATAACTGCTCAGCTCTCCTTCTGAAGCACAAAAGCATCATAGATAACAAGAAAAAAACGAATTGTGGCTGTCTTCCCATCAAACGGTACATACAAAAGCTGGGGTGGGTCACAGTTTGCCAACCCCTGATCTGGAATACACCTGAATGTGGTGCATAGCCTCCATTACGTTACTTGTAAAATTGTCTCAAATTGAAGCTGGAGGTCCTTTATTCCCCTCTGAGATTCCTTCTTCCACTCTCCCCCCACATTTTCTATCTGCAGCTTTATTCTGGTGGCGACCCAAAAGGCCAAGGCTTGGCTCCATCCCGCAGCACAGCAGGATATTGGCACAGACTCAACCCTCCCAGGTTCTCAGAATGGAGCTCATACAAAGCTAAGCCTCTTGATGATATTGACAACCTCACAGAGCTCAGTGCTTAGTATATTTTGTTTTTTGAGATAGGGTCTTGTTCTGTCATCCAGGATAGAGTGCAGTGGCACAATCTCAGCTCACTACAACCTCTAGCTCCCTGGACCAAGTGATCCATCCATCCCAGCATCTGAAGTAGCTGGGACCACAGGCACAAGTAACCAAGTCTGGCTAAATTTTGTATTTTTTGTAAAGATGGGGTTTCACCATGTTGCCCAGGCTGGTCTTAAACTGGGTTCAAGGAATCTTCCTGTCTCAGCCTCTCAAAGTGCTGGGATTACAGGCATGAACCACTGTGCTTGGCCAAGTAATTCATTTTTAATGGAAAATGAGTCTGTATCTTTTAAGATCTTTGGAAAGATATCCATCCTTCTTCCCTCACGGCAGCTAGCACAATGTCCTACACCCAATAAGTATTTGTTGATGTTAGTTTGAGGTCATGGCAACTGTGACTTTATCCCTTTGTACATTAGTTTGGTGAAGACCTGGCTTTCTAGTTCCAGAAGCAGAACTGAAGCAAATTCCTTTTCTTTTGGGAAAACAGACCTTTTGCAAAGAGACATAGACTCTCACAAGAAAACAAACCTGTCTTCCTGAGACTCATAGGGGAATGATTGGGGAGGTGTTGGAATCCTTGGGGGAAATTATGGGTTATGATTTCTTTCTGCTCTAGATAAGGGTTCGGCGCAGGCAGATCCTGGAAAAAGTGGAGTCCTTTATTGCCCAATGGGAGATGGCATTTCCAGGAGCAGTCCTGGCTGGTGCAATGGTGGCTGCTTGTACAGCTTCTTTAGGCTCTTATAGGGAGATAGCCAGGGCAGCTCTCTAAAGAAAACAGCTGAGTGGAATCCTTATCCTTATCAACATGGCTAGATCACAGGGGCTGGTGGCCTTATCATATCAGGGCAACCAGTGATTTCACCATGTCACCAACTACTCCTTTAGAAACAAACCGCATTGTGACATTTCAAGCATAACACTAGTGCCCAAATCCATTCTGCCATATTATAATTCATCTGCATCAGCAAGTTTATTGCTAAAGGCCTAGAGTCTCAAATACTTTATGAGACAGCCTGAAGATGTAAGAAAGTAAGTCTAATTTCACCATAGCATTTACTTGGCTGTGTGTACGTGCACAGGCCAGGTCCCGGGAACAAGGAAATTTCCCCCAAAAAGCTCTAACCAATTCACTTTAGTAGTTTCTTGTTTGTTTCACTCTGATACTGAGTTTTCTTCTCATTCAAACATTCATTTATTCATTGAAATACTAAAAAATATTAGTCGAGTGTCCTCTATGTATCTATCCATTGTCCTAGGTACTGTGGATACCACTGTAAATAAAACATGTAAAACACTTGCTTTCATGAAGTTTATGTGCAAGTCTGACAAAGAAATATGCAAGTGAAATATGCAAGTGTCAGATGTTGCTAAGTGCAATGGAGATCAATGAAGTAGGGAAGGTGGTGAGATAGCTGCAGAGATGTATACTGGTTGAGGGGGTGCTGTGAGCAGCGGGACTCAATTCCTCCCAACCTGGCCCCTGTCACTCGTTTAGACTAGTGCATCCCTCCAGAGAGCCACACTCAATCATCCTGGGCCTTCACAGAGGCTAGCCTCCTGCCCTTGCCCCTACTCACTTAGGCGACCCCTCCTCACACCGCAGGGCTCAGCACACTGGCCTCCAGAAAGCCCCACTTCTTCCCTTACCAGCGCTGACCTGAGGCCCAGGCCACTCTTCTCTGGCCCCCACTTCACCTGGTGCTTCTCACGCTGAAGGAGCTTCCTGTCTGGGGGGCCTTCCTGAAGAGGCTGTGGGCTCATGGAGGGTGGGGTATGTCTGTTTCCTCTGTGTCCATTACATAATCTCAACCACATGAGGAAGGAAAAACCCTACAAGGAAAGGAAAATATTCTCTCCCTTCTCAATGGTTGAGAGCAACCATTGAGAGATGAAAGAAAAGGAACTGAATATGTTGCATGTAGACATTAGGAGATCTTCAAAATCCAAAAGCTATTTCAGATTTTGAAATTACAAATGATTGAAAACCACCATGGCACGTTAAACCTATGTAACAAACCTGCACAATCTACACATGTACCCCAGAACTTAAGAGTACAATAACTATAGAAAAAGAAACTACAAATGAAAATGCTGTTGAAGCGTTGTACCAGTTTAAATAGCTAGGAAACGAAATATCAATCTCTATAATCCATCTAGACAAAAGCACTTACTTTTTAAAAGAGGAAGGTGTTTTGGGGACCAAAAGAGAGAAAACCTCTGTGAAAGATCCCCAGCCATGATTGGCCCCTGCTTTGCTCTGAGCTCATGAAAAGCCTTTGTGATGTCATAACAGACAGGCCTATATAAGGCCCTGGCTGGGTCATGGTTTTTGGCCTGATAAATCCCTGGAAGCTTTTTTGGTGACCTGTGGACTCAGACCAGCTTAGCGATTAGGAGTTGTTTCGGGGGGTGGGGGGAGTTTTTGTGGGAGGGGCGTTGGGGGGAGTTTTTGTGGGAGGGGTGTTGGTGTTTTTTTTAGTTATCAGTGTTAGCATAGTTAATATAGTTAGTATTGCTTAGTATTTTATTTGGGGTAGTCAATAGTGTTGTTTAAGATTTTATCATAGTAGAGTTAGAGTAGTTACTTGTGTATAGTTAGTGTATAAAGGCACCATGAAGCAGGGATTGGCCTCCACCTCACCTGCCCTGCGGCCACCGCATTATCAAATACTGAATTTCATAGGCCGTGGTGCCTTTGGTGAGGTCACGCTGGCCTGGCACTTAAAGACCGGCACCCGGGTGGCGGTGGCGGTGAAAACAATCGACAGAACCGGCTTCCTCTCTAGCCACAGAGAGATGACTGTTTTACAGTCGGTGCACCACCGAAACATCATTAAATTATATCATATTATTAGCGGCAAAGAGGCGTGCCAGTTAGTACTTGAATACGCCGCAGGAGGAAGCCTGTCTAACTGGCTTGAACAGAACATCATGACAGAGGAGGAGGCCCGAGGCAAGTTCCAACAAATGCTGTCCGCCGTGAGGTACCTCCACCGCCGCAGCATCGCTCACAGAGACCTGAAACCGGACAACATGCTGTTAGATGTTAAGGGAAACATCAAAATTGCTGATTTTGGATCGGCCACGAGTTACCATGAGGGGCAGAGGCTGACAATAGCTCATGGGACCCTGGCCTACATGGCCCCAGAACTCTTCGGGGCCCAGGGCTATGAATGCCCCGCCATGGACATATGGAGCCTAGGCGTCACGCTGTTCCAGATGGTGTCCAACAACCTGCCCTTCTCCGCAGTGAGTCGTACGCAACTGAAACGCCTAATTCTATCTGGCCAGTATGTTAGCCCGCAGTACTTTTCTGAAGGTCTTAAAAGACTAATTAAAAACCTTTTAACGCCTGATCCCAATGAGTGGCCAACAGCAAACAAAGTCATGGGGGAATCATGGGTGAACAACGGCCTTCACAGGAAGTCAGACCCCCAGCATGCCCCCACGGCCTCCCTGACCATCGAGCGCAATTGTGAAGATTTAGAAAACTTGGCACGGCAAGCCCTCGAGTGTGACCGTGTGGCCTCCTCCATTGTAAGCGCCATAGGCAGTGGTGGTGCTTTAGAAACCTTGGCAGAGGAAGCCCCGCAGCGTGACCTCGTGTCTGCAGCCTCCACCAAGTGCTCCACTGGCAGTGAAAATTTAGAAACTTTGGCTCAACCAGCCCTCCCGCATAACCTCACGGCCGCCTCCACCCAGATCACCACCCAGAGCACCGTGGCTCCACAACCAGTACACGAAGGCAGCGTCCTCCAAGCTGGGCAGCCCGAGGCTGTGTTGGCCCGGCCAACAAGAGGCTGGAGCTGCCGCAGGGCTGCCCGAAGGTGCATTGCCATAATAAGGAGATGCTGCTGCTGCCTGTGCCCACCCAAGAAGCAGAGTAACAGGGCCCACCCAAGTGAAAAAGTAAGTAGGTGGGCGGTGAAGCCGCACTTCTTGCATTTTACTATATTTATTCTGTCTTTATTAGTATTGTTTTAATTGGCAAATCATGCTTGTACATTCATGGGGTGCAATGTGAGGATTAGATAGATGTTTGCACCGTGGAATGAGGAAATCCCACTACTCAGCATCTCCACCACCTCAGAGAGACCAATTCCACGTGATGCCCCGCAAGTGTTGATCTAAACAAGTTGACCCCATTGAAGTAGCCAGTAGATGGATGGTGATCCGGGGCCGGAGAGTGGCAGAGGGAGGGAATGGCGGGGTATTGGTCAAAGGACCAAAGTCTAGACAGGAGGAAGAGGTTTTGACTCTAGTGCACAGCAGGGTGACCAGAGTCAATAAGAACGTATTGCATTTTGCAAAACATGTTCATGTCAAATGTCTCTGCATTTAGATTGGAGAGGACGAAGGCCCTGAGGTCCAGGAACATTGAAACCTGAGATGCCCAGGAGCAACGTTGGAGCCTGCAGCACTTTATATAAAAAATATATAAAAATAAATTTATCATTCTGATAAATGACCATTTCTTGCTTCTTGCAAATTTTGTAGTAGCATTGGAAAGGTGGTACGTGGGTTGCAGACACTCTGCTGCTTTGTGCCCTCCCTGCACAGGACCAGGGCTAAGAGAAGGCAAGGCGTGAGGCAAAGGAAAAGGCATATTTACTAGCAACTGCCTTAGTTGAAAGAAAAGTGGGGATAATGAAAGGATGTAGGAGGACGTGGAAGAGAGCAAGAAAAAAATATAGCTAAACCAGAGTCTAAAACCTGGCCCAGATTGGAGAGAGTTCAATGTGCAGTGTGGAAAAAGGACATTGAAAGTATGCATGCCCCAAAAGAACGGTCTATAAAGATCATGCGGTTTACCCCCATGCAATACCTAATGGTGGGATGTGATCCAAACTGGTGGGTCACTGTCTTACACTACTACTATTGCAGCTATAGGAGTATCAGGTAAAAACGAACAAAAACCCTTATGCCAATCAAAATATGTCACTGGAAGACAAGAGGTGCAGCAGAAGTTCTTATATCTTCCCAGCTGCCCTGTTCCTTTGTTGGGGAGGAATCTGCTCCAAAAACTATAAGTACACATTTCTTTTTTTTTTTTTTTTGAGGAGTTTCGGTCTTGTTACCCAGGCTGGAGTGCAATGGCACGATCTCGGCTCACCATTAACTTCTGCCTCCTGGGTTCAGGCAATTCTCCTGCCTCAGCCTCCGGAGTAGCTGGGATTACAGGCACGCGCCACCATGCCCCGTTAATTTTCACCATGCCCAGCTAATTTTTTGTATTTTTAGTAGAGACAGGGTTTCATCATGTTGACCAGGATGGTCTCGATCTCTTCGATCTCTTGACCTCGTGATCCACCCGCCTCGGCCTCCCAAAGTGCTTGGATTACAGGCGTGAGCCACCGTGCCCAGCCTGTGGTTTGCATTTTTATTTTATTTTATTTTATTTATTTTTTTTTTAATTTTTTATTGGATTATAGGTTTTGGGGTACATGAGCAGAGCATGCAAGACAGTTGCGTAGGTACACACATGGCAGTGTGCTTTGCTTTTCTTCTCTCCTTCACCCACATTTGGCATTTCTCCCCAGGCTATCCCTCCCCACCTCCCCCTCCCACTGGCCCTCCCCTTTTCCCCCCAATAGACCCCAGTGTTTAGTACTCCCCTTTATGTGTCCATGTGTTCTCATTTTTCATCACCCACCTATGAGTGAGAATATGCGGTGTTTCATTTTCTGTTCTTGTGTCAGTTTGCTGAGGATGATGTTCTCCAGATTCATCCATGTCCCTACAAACGACACGAACTCATCATTTCTGATTGCTGCATAATATTCCATGGTGTATATGTGCCACATTTTTCCAATCCAGTCTATTATCAATGGGCATTTGGGTTGATTCCAGGTCTTTGCTATTGTAAACAGTGCTGCAATGAACATTCGTGTACATGTGTCCTTATAGTAGAACGATTTATAGTCTTTTGGATATATACCCAGTAATGGGATTGCTGGGTCAAATGGAATTTCTATTTCTAAGGCCTTGAGGAATCGCCACACTGTCTTCCACAATGGTTGAACTAATTTACACTCCCACCAACAGTGTAAAAGTGTTCCTTTTTCTCCACATCCTCTCCAGCATCTGTTGTCTCCAGATTTTTTAATGATCGCCATTCTAACTGGCGTGAGATGGTATCTCAATGTGGTTTTGATTTGCATCTCTCTGATGACCAGTGACGATGAGCATTTTTTCATATGACTGTTGGCCTCATATATGTCTTCTTTCGTAAAGTATCTGTTCATATCCTTTGCCCACTTTTGAATGGGCTTGTTTGTTTTTTTCCTGTAAATCTGTTTGAGTTCTTTGTAAATTCTGGATATCAGCCCTTTGTCAGATGGGTAGACTGCGAAAATTTTTTCCCATTCTGTTGGTTGCCGATCCACTCTAGTGACTGTTTCTTTTGCCGTGCAGAAGCTGTGGAGTTTCATTAGGTCCCATTTGTCTATTTTGGCTTTTGTTGCCAATGCTTTTGGTGTTTTGTTCATGAAGTCCTTGCCTACTCCTATGTCCTGGATAGTTTTGCCTAGATTTCCTTCTAGGGTTTTTATCGTGCCAGGTCTTATGTTTAAGTCTTTAATCCATCTAGAGTTAATTTTAGTGTAAGGTGTCAGGAAGGGGTCCAGTTTCTGCTTTCTGCACATGGCTAGCCAGTTTTCCCAACACCATTTGTTAAACATGGAATCCTTGCCCCATTGCTTGTTTTTGTCAGGTTTATCAAAGATTGTATAGTTGTATGTATGTTGTGTTGCCTCCGGTGCCTCTGTTTTGTTCCATTGGTCTATATCTCTGTTTTGGTACCAGTACCATGCTGTTTTGATTACTGTAGCCTTGTAGTATAGTTTGAAATCCGGTAGTGTGATGCCCCCCGCTGTGTTCTTTTTGCTTAGAATTGACTTGGCTATGCGGGCTCTCTTTTGGTTCCATATGAAGTTCATGGTGGTTTTTTCCAGTTCTGTGAAGAAAGTCAATGGTAGCTTGATGGAGATAGCGTTGATTCTGTAAATTACTTTGGGCAGTATAGCCATTTTCACGATATTAATTCTTCCTAACCATGAACATGGAATGTTTCTCCATCTGTTTGTGTCCTCTCTGATTTCGTTGAGCAGTGGTTTGTAGTTCTCCTTGAAGAGGTCCCTTACGTTCCTTGTGAGTTGTATTCCAAGGTATTTTATTCTTTTTGTAGCAATTGCGAATGGCAGTTCGCTCTTGATTTGGCTTTCTTTAAGTCTGTTATTGGTGTAGACGAATGCTTGTGATTTTTGCACATTGATTTTATATCCTGAGACTTTGCTGAAGTTGTTTATCAGTTTCAGGAGTTTTTGGGCTGAGGCAATGGGGTCTTCTAGGTATACTATCATGTCGTCTGCAAATAGAGACAATTTGGCTTCCACCTTTCCTATTTGAATACCCTTTATTTCTTTTTCTTGCCTGATTGCTCTGGCTAGAACTTCCAGAACTATATTGAATAGGAGTGGTGAAAGAGGGCATCCTTGTCTAGTGCCAGATTTCAAAGGGAATGCTTCCAGTTTTTGCCCATTCAGTATGATATTGGCTGTTGGTTTGTCATAAATAGCTTTTATTACTTTGAGATACGTTCCATCGATACCGAGTTTATTGAGGGTTTTTAGCATAAAGGGCTGTTGAATTTTGTCAAATGCCTTCTCTGCGTCAATTGAGATAATCATGTGGTTTTTGTTTTTGGTTCTGTTTATGTGGTGAATTACGTTGATAGACTTGCGTATGTTGAACCAGCCTTGCATCCCTGGGATGAATCCTACTTGATCATGATGAATAAGTTTTTTGATTTGCTGTTGCAATCGGCTTGCCAATATTTTATTGAAGATTTTTGCATCTATGTTCATCATGGATATTGGCCTGAAGTTTTCTTTTCTCGTTGGGTCTCTGCCGGGTTTTGGTATCAGGATGATGTTGGTCTCATAAAATGATTTGGGAAGGATTCCCTCTTTTTGGATTGTTTGAAATAGTTTTAGAAGGAATGGTACCAGCTCCTCTTTGTGTGTCTGGTAGAATTCGGCTGTGAACCCGTCTGGACCTGGGCTTTTTTTGTGTGGTAGGCTCTTAATTGCTGCCTCAACTTCAGACCTTGTTATTGGTCTATTCATAGTTTCAGCTTCCTCCTGGTTTAGGCTTGGGAGGACACAGGAGTCCAGGAATTTATCCATTTCTTCCAGGTTTACTAGTTTATGCGCATAGAGTTGTTTGTAATATTCTCTGATGATGGCTTGAATTTCTGTGGAATCTGTGGTGATTTCCCCTTTATCATTTTTTATTGCATCTATTTGGTTGTTCTCTCTTTTATTTTTAATCAATCTGGCTAGTGGTCTGTCTATTTTGTTGATCTTTTCAAAAAACCAGCTCTTGGATTTATTGATTTTTTGAAGGGTTTTTCGTGTCTCAATCTCCTTCAGCTCAGCTCTGATCTTAGTAATTTCTTGTCTTCTGCTGGGTTTTGAGTTTTTTTGATCTTGCTCCTCTAGCTCTTTCAATTTTGATGATAGGGTGTCAATTTTGGATCTCTCCATTCTCCTCATATGGGCACTTATTGCTATATACTTTCCTCTAGAGACTGCTTTAAATGTGTCCCAGAGGTTCTGGCACGTTGTGTCTTCGTTCTCATTGGTTTCGAAGAACTTCTTTATTTCTGCTTTCGTTTCGTTGTTTACCCAGTCAACATTCAAGAGCCAGTTGTTCAGTTTCCATGAAGCTGTGTGTTTCTGGGTCGGTTTCTGAATTCTGAGTTCTAACTTGATTGCACTATGGTCTGAGAGGCTGTTTGTTATGATTTCTGTTGTTTTGCATTTGTTGAGCAGTGCTTTACTTCCAATTATGTGGTCAATTTTAGAGTAGGTGTGATGTGGTGCTGAGAAGAATGTGTATTCTGTGGATTTGGGGTGGAGAGTTCTGTAAATGTCCACCAGGTTTGCTTGCTCCAGGTCTGAGTTCAAGCCCTGGGTATCCTTGTTGATTTTCTGTCTGGTTGATCTGTCTAGTATTGACAGTGGAGTGTTAAAGTCTCCCACTATTATTGTGTGGGAGTCTAAGTCCTTTTGTAAGTCATTAAGAACTTGCCTTATGTATCTGGGTGCTCCTGTGTTGGGTCCATATATGTTTAGGATCGTTATCTCTTCTTGTTGTATCGATCCTTTTACCATTATGTAATGGCCTTCTTTGTCTCTTTTGATCTTTGTTGCTTTAAAGTCTATTTTATCAGAGATGAGAATTGCAACTCCTGCTTTTTTTTGCTTTCCATTAGCTTGGTAAATCTTCCTCCATCCCTTTATTTTGAGCCTTTGTGTATCCTTGCATGTGAGATGGGTTTCCTGGATACAGCACACTGATGGGTTTTGGATTTTTATCCAATTTGCCAGTCTGTGTCTTTTGATTGGTGCATTTAGTCCATTTACATTTAGGGTTAATATTGTTATGTGTGAATTTGATACTGCCATTTTGATGCTAAGTGGCTGTTTTGCCTGTTAGTTGTTGTAGATTCTTCATTATGTTGAAGCTCTTTAGCATTCAGTGTGATTTTGGAATGGCTGGTACTGGTTGATCCTTTCTATGTGTAGTGCCTCTTTTAGGAGCTCTTGTAAAGCAGGCCTGGTGGTGACAAAATCTCTGAGTACTTGCTTGTTCGCAAAGGATTTTATTCTTCCTTCACTTCTGAAGCTCAGTTTGGCTGGATATGAAATTCTGGGTTGAAAGTTCTTTTCTTTAAGAATGTTGAATATTGGCCCCCACTCTCTTCTGGCTTGTAGTGTTTCTGCTAAGAGATCTGCTGTGAGTCTGATGGGCTTCCCTTTGTGGGTGGCCTGACCTTTCTCTCTGGCTGCCCTTAGTATTCTCTCCTTTATTTCAACCCTGTTGAATCTAACGATTATGTGCCTTGGGGTTGCTCTTCTTGCGGAATATCTTTGTGGTGTTCTCTGTATTTCCTGCAATTGAGTGTTGGCTTGTCTTGCTAGGTGGGGGAAATTTTCCCGGATGATGTCCTGAAGAGTATTTTCCAGCTTGGATTCATTCTCTTCGTCCCCTTCTGGTACACCTATCAAACGTAGGTTAGGTCTTTTCACATAGTCCCACATTTCTTGGAGACTTTGTTCATTCCTTTTTGCGCTTTTTTGTCTGATCTTGGTTTCTCGTTTTATTTCATTGAGTTGGTCTTCGACTTCAGATATTCTTTCTTCTGCTTGGTCAATTCGGCTATTGAAACTTGTGTTTGCTTCGTGAAGTTCTCGTATTGTGTTTTTCAGCTCCTTTAATTCATTCATATTCCTCTCTAAGGTATCCATTCTTGTTATCATTTCCTCGAATCTTTTTTCAAATCTTTTTTCAAGGTTCTTAGTTTCTTTGCATTGATTTAATACATGATCTTTTAGCTCACAAAAGTTTCTCATTATCCATCTTCTGAAGTCTAATTCCGTCATTTCGTCACAGTCATTCTCCGTCCAGCTTTGTTCCCTTGCTGGTGAGGAGTTTTGGTCCTTTCTAGGAGGCGAGGTGTTCTGGTTTTGGGTGTTTTCCTCCTTTTTGCGCTGGTTTCTTCCCATCTTTGTGGATTTGTCCGCTGGTCGTCTGCGTAGTTGCTGACTTTTCGTTTGGGTCTCGTTTGCAGATTCAACGAGAAGAGCTCCAATCCTGGGTTGTTCTCACAGCGCCATCTTGAGTCCTCCCCCGGTTTGCATTTTTAAAGCTCCCTGGGCTGCCCAGAGGAAAGGCTGTAGGGGGCGGGCATGAAACAGGTAGGCAGGTTTCCAAGGCTGCTTCCGACGTGTGGCGGGGTCATCTGGCAGCGGCTACGAGGGGGAACCAAGGGAGTACTCACCACTAGGGGGAGGGCCTTGGCCAATACCCCTGCTCAGTGGTGAGCCAGGCCCCGCCCCAGGTGGTACCTCCTATCTTGCCCCACGTGAGGGGCTTGTAAGGAACTTTCTCTCCGTCATCCGCAGGGTGGAGCGGAGCTGTCTGGGGTCTGGAGTCCGGGAAGAGTCGAAGGCTTGTGAGCGGCCCAGGCGCGGGCGCCTGCGGCGGGAGGGCGGGACCAGGAGGTTGGCATCGCAGGGCCTGTGCGCACCGAAGCGCAGCAAGTAAGTCTCAGCCAAGACTGCCCGGCTACCACCAGCTCCTGCGGAGCGTGCGCACCTGGATGTGCACGCGCATCTGGGAACTGCCAAGCCGTGCCACATTTTCTCTCCTTCTGGCCTGGCCTTCAGAGTTCGACCCGCAGCGGCTGAGCGCAGGGCCTCCTCTACTGAAGGCAGCTCCCAGGGCTTCAAAAACTTGCAGTCAGTGGTGGGAGAGCCGGAACAGACCTGCGCAATAAGAACCAGATGATGATGTTGCTGTAGTATAGTTTGCAGAGTGCAGAGAAGGGAGCAAACGGTGACAGCAGAGAGGAATCCAGAAGGCTTCCAGGAGGAGGCACCATTTGTGATTTGGGGTTGTAGCAGGAGGAGGAAGTTGACAGGTGAATAAGGGGAGGGCATGCCTGCCAGGCGAACCGTCTGTGTTGGGGAAATGTCCAGTCTGCATCATGACTCCACTGTTCACTTTCCTGACTAAGTAGGAACCACTGGACTCCTCTCTTGTCCTGGGCCTTTTTGTGTAGTCCATCCTTTATTTTATTTTATTATTATTTTTTTTGAAATGGAGTCCCGCTCTGTTGCCCAGGCTGGAGTGCAGTGGTGTGATCACAGCTCACTGCAACCTCTGCCTCCCCAATTCAAGCACTTCTCCTGCCTCAGCCTCCTGAGTAGCTGGGATTATAGGAATGCGCCACCACCCCTGGTAATCTTTTTTTTTTTTTTTTTTGAGACGAAGTCTTGCTCTGTCCCCAGGCTGGAGCACAGTGGCGTAATCTGGGCTTACTGCAACCTCTGCCTCCCGGGTTCAAGCAATTCTTCTGCCTCAGCCTCCCGAGCAGCTGGGACTACAGGCCTGTGCCACCACGCCCGGCTAATTTTTGTAGTTTTAGTAGAGACGGGGTTCCATGTTGGCTAGGGTGGTTCGAACATCTGACTCAGGTGATCTGCCCACCTTGGCCTCCCACAGTGCTGGGATTACAGGCATGAGCCACCGCGCCCGGCCAATTTTTGTATTTTTAGTAGAGAAGGGGTTTCACCGTGTTGACTAGGCTGGTCTCGAACATCTGACTCAGGTGATCCGCCCACCTCGGCCTCCCACAGTGCTGGGATTGTAGGCATGAGCCCTTGTACCCGACCCACCTGTTTATGTTTAGCTCATTTTCTCCCCGCCATCCATCCCCCTCCATACCCCGACTCTGCCTTTGCTGGAGCCCTAAATCACCACCCTGGCCTTCCATCCTCTCAAGGCATCTGCCCCACCACTGCCAGGGTGCTCTCTTCCTTGCTCCCTCTCTGTAACCCCTGCCCACCCTGTACCTCTCAGCCACAGCACCTGCTCCAGCCCTGGTTTCCTCACAGCTGCTTGGTTTTAGGGCTAACAGGATTCACTGCATGTGATTACTTGCTCTTGCCACAGGAGACGCAGCATGAAGGCAGGCCCTGGGGGTGCGGGCAGAGGTTTCAGGGGAGCTTTGTCTTTATGTCTGCAGTGTCCAGCATGGTGTCAGGTTCAATATATGACACTAGCCTGAATGAGCAGAGGGTGGCGTGCAGCAAAAGGCTTGAGGATAGGGGTGGGTGAGAACTGCAGAGGCAGGCAGGTGTTAGACTACATAGAGCCTTACATGCCAACCTAAGCAGCTTGGCATTCATCCTCAGAGCAATGGGAGCCAGAGAGGGCTGGAGACCTGGGAGAGTGGCCTGGTAAGATGTCTGGTGAAGGGCCAGGGGGCTAATGTGGAGGCTGTCACAGTGGTCGCAGTGAGCTGCGACAGTGGCAGGTGGGGTGGACAGGAAAACAGGGAAGTGGTTCTCAACTGGGGGCAATTTTGCCACCACCCCCCAAGCATTGAGCATTGCCTGGAGACACACCAGTGTCACAACTTGGGGAGTGCTACTGGCATTGAGTGGGTAGAGGCCAGGGATGCTGCTCAATATCCTCGGGACAGCCCGAATAACAAGGAGTGATCTGGCCTTAAGTGTCAACAGTGCTGACGGTGAGAAACCCTGCCCTGGGGGAAAACCCAGAGAATCACCTGCTAGGTGTGGGGAAATGGAGTGTATCTCAGCCTGAACTCTTGGAGCCATGCTGAGGCTTGGCTCTTCCATATTTTAGCCATGTAAGAACCCTGGGCGAGTGTCACTCAACCTCTCTGCACATGGTTTCCTCCTCTTTTTTTTTTTTTTTGAGATGGAGTTTCCCTCTTGTTGCCCAAGCTAGAAAGCAATGGCATGATCCGGCTCATTGCAACCTCCCCCGCCCCCACCCCCCCACCACCACCCTGTGTTCAAGCAATTCTCCTGCCTCAGCCTCTTAAATAGCTGGGATTACAAGCATCAGCCACCATACCCGGGTATGTTTTTGTTTTAGTAGAGATGAGGTTTCTCCATGTTGGTCAGGCTGGTCTCAAACTCCCGACCTCAGGTGATCCTGCTGCTTTGGCCTTCCAAAATGCTGGGATTATAGGCATGTGCTACCATGACCAGCTAATTTTTGTATTTTTACTAGAGATGGGAGTTCACCATATTGCTCAGGCTGGTCTTGAACTCCTGACCACAAGTCATCTGCCTGCCTCAGCCTCCCAAAGTGCTGGGATTATAGGCATAAGTCGCCGTGCTCAGCTGCACCCTGGGTTCTTTGCTGTTCCTTGCCCACACCCAGCTTACCCTGCCTCAGGGCCTTTGCCCTCGCTGTTCCCTCTGCCTTGGAGACCCTGCCTCTGGGAGGCTATGTGACTCGCTACCTCACCTCCTGAGGTCTCTGCTCAGCGGTCACCTTCTAAAGGGGTATTTCTTTTTAATTTTTTAAATGTTTATTTATTTTTTTTTGCAGAAATGTGTGCAACTAAAGGAGTATTTCTAAACCACACAATGTTTAAAAAAAAAAAAAAAGGCAATGGGTGCTCTGGCTCACTCTGGCAACCAATCCCAGCACCTAGGGAGGCCAAGGTGGGTGGATCACTTGAGCCCAGGAGTTCAAGACCAGCCTGGGCAATATAGCAAGGCCCTGTCTCAAACAAAAATCAAACATAAAATATTCCTTAAGTATTGCTTGAATGAATGGTATGAGTGAAAAACTGCCAGGAGTCAGAGAAGTAGGAAGGAAATGAAGAGAAGATAGGATGGTAGACAGCAGTGCAGGGGCTGAGTGGACCCTGGGAGGGGCTGGGGTCCTGGCCTGGCCTGGGCATGAAGCCTCAATCATCTGCCCTCCCCAGGCCCTTCCACCCAGACCTGCTCTGCTTTACCAGCTCCTAGACATGGCTCCTCTAGCCCAGACAGACGGCCAGGCCTGAACAGAGTGTCTTTACCCTTCTGATAAGCTGCTTCCTTTCAGGGCCACAAAGGGCAGAATGTGTCCTGCTGCTCAGGAAGTGCCCAAGAGCCTGGACAGGCCCCTGGAGTGGGCAAGGGGCTGGGCATTTGCCACCTTGGCAGCTATCCTGTGCACAGGCAAAGTGGAGAGGAGCAAGGGGCAGGGACCAGGGCAGATCCTTACCCTTCCCCAACATGCCCTACTCCTCACAGTCAGCAAATCTCCATTTTTTAATTTTTACTTTTTGAGATGAGTTTCACTCTTGTTGCCCAGGCTGGAGTGCAGTGGAGTAATCTTGGCTCACTGCAACCTCTGCTTGCTGGGTTCAAATGATTCTCCTGCTTCAGCCTCCTGAGTAGCTGAGATTATAGGTGCCTGCCACTATGCCCGGCTAATTTTTTCTATTTTTATTTTATTTATTTTATTTTTTATTTTTATTTTTATTATTTTTTTGAGATGGAGTTTCGCTCTTGTTACCTAGGCTGGAGTGCAATGGCGCAATCTCAGCTCACCGCAACCTCCACCTCCTGGGTTCAGGCAATTCTCCTGCCTCAGCCTCCTGAGTAGCTGGGATTACAGGTACGTGCCACCATGCCCAGCTAATTTTTTGTAATTTTAGTAGAGACGGGGTTTCACCATGTTGACCAGGATGGTCTCAATCTCTCGACCTTGTGATCCACCCGCCTCGGCTTCCCAAAGTGCTGGGATTACAGGCGTGAGCCACCGTGCCCGGACTATTTATTTTATTTAATTAATTAATTTATTTATTTAGCAATGGAGTCTCACACTGTCACCCAGGTTGGAATGCAGTGGCACAATCTGGGCTCATTGCAACCTCCGCCTCCCGGGTTCAAGCAATTCTCCTACCTTAGCCTCCCAGAGTAGCTGGGACTATAGGAGTGCACCACCACGTCTGGCTAATATTCGTATTTTTTAGTAGAAATGGGGTTTCACCATATTGGACAGGCTGGTCTCGAACTCCTGACCTTGTGATCTGCCCGCCTTGGCCTCCCAAAGTGCTGGGGTTACAGGTATGAGCCACTGTGCCCAGCTTTATTTATTTATTTATTTATTTAGACCAAGTTTTGCTCTTGTTGCCAAGGCTGTGTGCAATGGCATGATCTCAGCTCACTGCAACCTCCACCTCCCAGATTCAAGCGATTCTCCTGCCTCAGCCTCCCAATTATAGGCAGTTAATTTTTTTTTTTTTTTTTTTTTTTTTTTTTTTTTTTTTTGAGATGGAGTTTTGCTCTTATCTCCCAGGCTGGAGTGCAGTGGTACAATCTTGGGTCACTGCAACCTCTGCCTCACAGGTTCAAGCAATTCTGCTGCCTCAGCCTCCCAAGTAGCTGGGATTACAGGTGCCCACCACAACATGGGCTAATTTTTTGTATTTTTAGTAAAGACAGGGTTTCACCATGTTGGCCAGGCCAGTCTCGAGCTCCTGACCTCAGGTGATTCACCCGCCTTGGCCTCCCAAAGTGTAAGGGTTACAGGCGTGAGCCACTGCACCAGGCCATTTTGTATTTTTATTATAGACAGGGGTTTGCCATGTTGGCCAGGCTGGTCTCGAACTCCTGACCTCAGGTGATCCACCACCCCCTGCCCACTATAACCCCCCGGCCTCCTAAAGTGCTGGGATTACAAGCATGAGCCACTGCACCTGGCCAACAAATCTCTGCTGAGAAGCTGTTGGGAGTACGGCCGTGAACGTTCCCTGCCCTAGCTGGGTTTCTGTGACTGATTGCCTGCAGCTCAGCTTCTTTTGAACCTGAGAACCCAGGCACAGGTTCCCAGCCCCCTTGCCCCAACAGGCTTTTTTGTTTTGTTTTGTTTTTCAATACAGGGTCTCACTCTGTTGCCCAAGCTGTAGTGCAGTGGCACGATTACAGCTCACTGCAGCCTCAAACTCCTGGGCTCAAGCAATTGTACCATCTCAGCCTCCCAATTAGCTGGAACTACAGGCATGCATCACCACACCTGGCTAAATATTTTGTATTTTTTGGCCAGGCACGGTGGCTCATGCCTGTAATCCCAGCACTTTGGGAAGCCGAGGCGGGTGGATCACAAGGTCGAGAGATTGAGACCATCCTGGTCAACATGGTGAAACCCCGTCTCTACTAAAAATACAAAAATTAGCTGGGCATGGTGGTGCGCACCTGTAGTCCCAGCTACTTGGGAGGCTGAGGCAGGAGAATTGCTTGAACCCAGAAGGTGGAGGTTGCGGTGAGCCGAGATCGCGCCATTGCATTCCAGTCTGGGTAACAACAGCGAAACTCCATCTCAAAAAAAAAAAAAAAAAAAGTATGAACTAGTTAAGGGAGAAGGGCAATGTTTTAGGACAGTTGGGTAGAGATGATAGAGGGAAACTAAGTAAAGATGTCACCAGCTCTGTTGACAATGCAGGAGAATTCTGGTGGGTTCTAACACACTGGTAGGAAAGTCATCAGAACAGATATAAGCAATGATTTTAATTTGACTTTAGAAGACAGCATCTATATTTTAGGAAGGACTTTTGAACTTCTTAATTAGGTTTTGTTAAATCTGTTTAAACCTGTTGGTATTTCTCAATGTGACATACGCTCTTGGTGGCAGGATATAGCTCAGAAGCTTGAGGCAGGAGGGTGACATGTTACCGCAGATAATCCTTGGTGGATCAATGAGCGGTGTTAATAATAGCAGTGTGGGAATTTACTTACGCTTTTTTCCTGGGTTTTCATGTAATTGATAGGAGATGGCTCCTAAATTCTTCCTTCTAGGGGCAAGAATAATCTTACAACACATTGATATCTGAACAAATGAAATCAACATGGTAAATACTTTTTTCATAATTAAAAAATAAAGTGTAAGTTCTTTTGGGCTGACTGCTGGAGCCATGGCGTGCATGTACACTTCTGGAATTAGAAAATGTGAAGGAATTGGAAGACCATGAAAAGTGGAAGATAACCCTTTTGGTTCCTAACTAACCTGAGACATTCTTCTATTGTTTCTTATTCCGGCCTCAATTGACAAGGCCATTGGACTTTGTAACCAACCTTGGTCAACTTTGTAACCAACTTTGGTCAACTTTGTGACTCCAGACCCTACGACCCCCTCCCAGCTTGCAAAAGACCACCCTAAACTGTAACTTCTGTAACTTTACACTGCCTACTGCAAACATATAAAACTAGCTTCTCTCCCACTGCCCTCTACTGACTCAGCAGTGAATAAACAGCCATGTTAATCACACAAAGTCTATTTGGGTGGTCTCTTCATTCAGAGCGTGCGTTTTAACGTAAAGTAAGTATGTTTTAAATAAGGCATCCTGATCAGGATGTAAAATAGGTACAGTGCTCCTGAGCATGTGTTTGAACTTTGTGGATCTGTTTATTTGCAGATTTTTTCCCAAGAAATATATTGGAAATATTTTTTGAGATTTGCAATCATTTGAAAAAACTCAACGAACACAGCCTAGAAATATTGGAAACATTAAGAAATTGTAAGGTATGTCATGAATTCAGAAAATATATGTAGATACTAGTCTGTTTTATAATTTACCACCATAAAATATTCACAAATTTATTACAAAAAGTTAAAATTCTGTAATCCCAGCTACTCAGGAGGTAGGAGAATTGCCTGAACCCAGGAGGCGGAGGTTGCGGTGAGCCGAGATCACACCATTGCACTCCAACCTGGGTAACAAGAGCGAAACTACGTCTCAAAAAAAAAAAGAGAGAGAGAGAAAATGGCCCCTGAAGAGAAGACAGAAAAGGAAAGCACCAGGAGAGGTTGGTATGATAAAGAGGCAGCCAGCCAATGCTCCAGAGACAAAATGTGACTTCTAAAGGTGGCTATGGAATATTTTTAGCAGAACCAAATGTGGGCATGCCTTGTGTTGCTGCACTTGCCTTACTGCCCTTTGCAGATATTGTGTATTTCACAAAGTGAAGGTTTGTGGCAACGCTGTATCCAGCAAGTCCATTGGTTCCCTTTTCCCAACAGCATGTGCTCACATCACGTCTCTGAGTCACATTTTGGAAATTCTTGGAATATTTTAAACATTATTATTCTATGTGTATAGCCATCTGCGATCAGTGATCTTTGTCTTAGCTGTTTTGGGGAGCCACCAGCCATGCCCATAGGACTTAAATGATAAATGTTGTGTGTGTTCTGACTTCTCTATCAGCTCCTCCCCATCTCTCTCCCTCTCCTTGAACCTTCCTATTCCCTAAGACATGACAATATTGAGATTAGGCCAATTGCTAATGCGGAGGTGGCCTCTAAATGTACAAGTGAGAGGAAGAGTCACATGCCTCTCACTTGAAATCGAAAGCTAATAATGACTAAGCTTAGCGAGGAAGGTATGTTGAAAGCTGAGATAGGTCAAACGCTGGGCCTCTTGCAACAAACAGCCAAGGTGTGAATGCAAAGGAAAAGTCATTGAAGAACATTAGGCATGCCACTCCAGTGAATTCATGAATTATAAGAAAGAAAGAGCCTTATTGCTGATATGGAGAAAGTCTGAGTGGTCTGGATGCTTCCACTCATCCACCAGCCACAACATTCCCTTAAGCCAAAGCCTAATCCCTAACTTCCTTTAATTCTTTAAAGGCTAAAAGAGGTGAGGAAGGTGCAGAAGAAAAGTGTGAAGCCAGCAGAGGTTGGTTCATGAGGTTTAAGGAAAGAAGCTGTTTCCATAACTTAAAAGTGCAAGGTGAAGCAGCAAGTTATCCAGAAGCTCTAGTTAAGATCACTGATAAAGATGGCTACCCTGGACAATGGCAGAGTTGCAGTAGCCTCCTATTGGAAGAAGAGGCCATCTAGGATTTGCATAGCTAGAGTGAAGTCAAATTCTGGCTTCTTCAAAGAACAGGCTGACTCTCTCGTTAGGGGTTAATGCAGCTTGTGACTTCAAGTTGAAACCAACGTTAGTTTACCATTCTGAAAATCCTGAGGCCCTTAAGAATTAGGCTAAATCTACTCTGCCTGTGCTGTGTAACTGGAAGAACAAAGTCTGGATGACAGCTCATCAGTTTACAGCATGGCTTACTGAATATTTTAAGTCCACTGTTGAACTTACTACACAGAAAAAAGGATTTCTTTCAGAGTATCACTGCTCATTGACACTGCACATTGTCACCCAGGAGCTCTGATGGAGCTGTACGAGTAGTTTCATGTTGTTTTCATGCCTGCTAACACAGCATCCATCTACAACCCATGGATTGAAGAGTAATTTCATCTTTCAAGTCTTATTATTTAAGAAATAGGGCCAGGCACTGTGGCTCATGCCTATAATCCTGACACTTTGGGAGGCCAAGGCAGAAGACCACTGGAGGCCAGGAGTTGAAGGCCAGCCTGCTCAACATAGCAAGATCCTGTCTCTACAATAATAATAATAATTAGCTGGGTGCGATGGTGTATGCCTGTAGTCCCAGGTACATGGGAGGCTACAGTGGCAAGATCGTTTGAGCCCAGGAGTTCTAGGCTTCACTGAACTATGTTCATGCCACTGCACCCTAGCCTGGGCAATAGAGTGAGACTTGAAACTAAAAAAAAAAAGAAATCTAGGCTTCTAGCGACCAAAGTATACTGAAAACCTTCTGGAAAGGATTCAACCTTCTAGATGCCATTAAGAACATTCATGACTCATAAGAAGTCAAAATGTCAACATTAACAGGAGTTTAGAAGAAGTGGATTCCAACCCTCATGGATGACTTTGAGAGGTTCAAGGCTTCAGTGGAGGAAGTCACTGCAGATGTGGTAAGAATATAAAGGGGAAATTAAAGAGGAGCCTGTGAAGACATGACAATTGCTACAATCTCATTATCAAATTTGAATGAACGACGGTTGCTTCTTATGAATGAACAAGGAAAGTGGTTTCTTGAGATGGAATCTACTCCTGGTGAAGATGTTGTAAACATTGCTAAAATGACAACAAAGTATTTAGAATATTATGTAAACTGAGTTGATAACACAGTGGCCGATTTGAGAGGGTTGACTCAAATTTTGAAAGAAGTTCTGTGGATAAATGCCATCAAACAATGTCACATGCTACAGAGAAATCTTTCATGAAAGGAAGAGTCAACAGACACAGCAAACTTTACCATGGTCTTATTTTAAGAAATTGCGACAGCCTCCCCAACCTTCAGCAACCACCACCCTGACTGGTCAGCTGCAATCCACCTTGAGGCAAGATCCTCTACCAGGAAAAAGATTGTGACTCGCTGAAGATTCAGATGATCATTATCATTTCTTAGCAATAAGGTATTTTTAAATTAAGGTATGTTCCTTGTTTTTAGACATAATGCTTTGCACACTTAATAGACTACAACATAGTGTAAATGAAGTTTTATATGCACTGAGAAACGAAAAGATTCACATGGCTCACTTTAGTGTGATATTTGCTTTACTGTGTTGGTTGGAACTGAACCCGCAATATCTCTGAGGTGCACCTGTAATGAGACCAGTGGCACTTGCTATCTCTTCCGTGGTAACTGAAACGAGCTTTCTTAAGTTCTTCTCAGAGGAAGATGTAATGGAGTTTAATGAAAGAACCATTTCAAAACACATTAAGCTCAATATAAAGATTCTGTAGCAGTCTGCAGATGCTATAATAAATAATAATAAGGGTCGGAACCAGTACTTGACAAGGCGAACCAAAATGGGACAGGCTTGGGTCTTTAGATAACTTTGTTATTCCTTTCTTCTTTCCTCTCCCCGCTCCAACTACCTTCTAAATGAGGGAGAATTCCAGGAACTCCCTCCTTGCTTCCAGATATACCTGGGACAAAACGGATCTAGGCAAACAGGAAAACCTGGGGTCTAGGCATAGAGGCAGAACTGGAAACAAAATGTAAGCACCTGTAATGGTGACGCAAGAAGCAGGTGCATCGGGGAAGTCAGTAGGCATTGCTAGGAGCAAAGCAGAAATCCAAGTCTCTGTCTTTCGAATTGGGTAGACCTACTAGAATAGTGGCGTGTGTGGCCAGACCCTCAGGAAGCCAACTGCAGCAGACTAGGATGCAAAGTGTCTATGCATTGGCCTGATTGGAGGGCTGAGTACAGGCCACAGCTATGGAGGGAAGACGGGGAGCCAAGGAAGTTCAGTGCCACAGAAGAAGTGTTGGTGGTCAGGTCTACACACACAGATTATGTAAAGAATGATGCTCCTTAGAGCTGTGAAGTGCTCAGCTGAACTGTGCATGGCAGCCCTCTGTGATAGCTACAGTATCTGGAGATAGAATTGAGGGTAGCCAGACTATTTTCTTCAAAATACTGCCTTTCTTTTGGGGGACTGATGTAAAACACTTGCTATATTAAACACAGCATAGAAAGGGCATGAATTTAATCTATCTCCTAATTCTCTTTTCCTCATCTTCTTTTCTCTTACTTTTTCTAGTCACTAGTACTTTCACTTCTCAGAGATTGACAGGGTAGCTGGAATCAGAAACAGCGCTGAGCATTAGCAAGAGCCATTTGAGATTTAATTAGGTAACCCTTTCAAAAACGTTAACTTTGACTCAATTTGGCACAAATTTAAACTAGGAAGCTTGGATCTACCTGTTAATTTGATAATATTGAGCTAAACAAAAAAGAAAAGCAGATAACAAGATCATTCTGTATCACAAATTTCTTTTCAAAGGGGTTACACATGAGCCCCAAAGTGTATCTCACATAAAATCTTGGGGGAACATGGAATCTGTATCTTTTTGGTGTTAATGTTACTAGTGAGCTCTGAGAGAATAAAGTCGCTTCATGACAGAAAGAAGCAGGAGCAAAAGGGTGGCTTGGAATGTGTCTTGGCATGAGATGGCCAAGATATGAAGAAAAAGAAAAAATACACCTGGCATCTTGGCCACATTCCCGCCTTAGAACAGAATCTTCATTTTATGGGAGACATAATTATCTCCCAGCTTCTCCAATGCTGGCTGTCTAGCTAATTCTATAGAGACAGGCTATTTAAATGCTCTACAAATGCCATGCCAGTAGCGCTTGCACATGAAATGCAAGGCCTCCCAAAGATTCTACAGAACAGCAGGAACTGCAGTGCAAAAATTTTATGGAGTGACTAGCTTGTCAGACCTAAAAGCAGGTGCCTTTTGCTTTTCTGTAATCCCATGCCTGTTTTAGAGACTATATATATACTTGCTTGTTAGACTTTGGTTTTATCAAGGTTATATCAGGAACTCAGACTGAGGTCTGAAACAAGGAATAACTGTTAGAAATTCATGAGGTGAGCATCCTACTGTATGTACCTGTAGCTGCACAGGGCTTTGAGTGCAAGAGGTAATGGCTCCATGTTCAGAGAAGGCACGATGAAGCTTTGGCAGTGTAAGCTCCCATGCCGGGGGAAAGCCTATGTGGTTGGTTCTGATTTTCTATATCAATCAGCACCACATCTCCTTTTCCAATTATCCCAATGCATGAGAGACAGAAAAGATCCTCTATACATTTCTATGACAAGCTACACGACTGCAAGTTCCTGTGAAGAAGACCAATGATGCTATATGGGCAACCACTTCCCACTAAGGAGAAGTCAGCATAAGCAAAACTTCCCACTAAGGAGAAGTCAGCTAACCTTGCCAACTAATTTCATGTTCATAAGAAAATGTGGGGAACCTTGGAGTATGCCTCTACGGTGATTGGGGAAGTAGATAAGGAATGTAGCCTTCTCTACTGTTATGATTGCTTCCTTAACTCAGCAAACTACCCTCCCCTACTGAGACATGGGAGTTACCTTACTATGATTTTTACGGTCTTGGTATTCATGTATCAAGATCCCCAAGAGAGGCCTTCAGTCTTAGAAAGAACTTCATTGGGGGAGGGATGAGAATACTCTGAAGTTGGAGAGGAGGAATTCAGGGGGTGTCAGAAGAAAAGGAAGAGTATACCTGCTAGGGTCTTGGGAATCTCCCAGAGAGTGATACAGGAATCAGCTATCAAGACGGTCCTTGTTCCTTGCCATTTCCTCTTTCTGATGAAATAAACCAGGATGCTTCTCCTTTTTTCTCCCCACTGAGTTTCAAAGAATCTTCCACTGATCAGCGTAGCAGAGACATTAGACACATCCACTTCTGAGAAGCACTTTAAATACAGGGAAGCTCAGAGTGAGGTGCAGCGATTCCATCCCCCTCTAATCAGAGTGTGTCTGAGTATAAAATTAAGAGAGACAGACTCACCCTCCAGGATTTTCTTGGGGCTAAAAACAGGTTCCATAGTTGCCACACGGGCACTGTCTGGCCACTTGCAGGATGGACTTCCTCCTCTTCTCTTACCTGCTTGAGTATAATCCACACTCTGCTGCCCCTTCCAATTTGACTTAGTGGAGAAGTGCGCATGCCAGGTTGGCAGGGCATAAATCCCAGTGCCACCACTTCTAGCCGTGCACTCTGTTCAGGTTGGTTAACCAGTCCTTATCATAAAATGGGCATAATAATAATGCTTACCATGTAGAGTTATTGTGAGAACTAATGAAGTTAATACACATGCAGTGCTTAGAACACCGCCCGGCAAGTAGCAAAGACTTGGTGAAGGTTGATGGTTACTTTATTATTACAATGAATGAACCCTAACAGTTGATCAGTTTGTGAACAAACATGGTGTTCTATCCAAAATAAAAATGTCCAAACTTGAAAAATAAATCTCATCGTAGGCCAGGGGTTGGCAAACATTTTCTGTTAAGGGGAAGAGAGTAAATATTTTAGACTTTGCAGGCCATATGATCTCTGTTGCAACTATTAGACCCTAGACAATTTGTAGATTGATGAGTGTAGCTGTGTTCCAATAAAACTTTATTTACAAAAACAGGCAGCAGGCCAGAATCAGCCCATGGCTGTTATTTGCCAACCCCTGTCCTGGACTATGTACTCTTTGAGAAAAAGACCAAGCCCATTATGTTCACCTCTATCCTACTGCTCAGCACTGTGCCTGGCACAAAGTTCGTGCTCACATTTTAGTATAATTATTTCTGAGTCAATGAAAAAAAACTCAAAAGGGTAGGTCCTTTCATTTCTTCAAACGTTGGACTTTGGCACTCCTATTCGGACTGTGAAATGCGCAATTCTAAGTTCAGCCAACAGAAATGAGAGAAGAGCTCCTGGGAATGATACGCCATGTCCATCCCAGGGCTTCATGTTTTCTGGGCAAAAGAAAACAAAAAAACCTGAAAACAGTGACAGAGATTCCAAGAAATTCCAATTCCAATAATCCACAGACCCAACATTTGCACAGCTTTATCTGATTGTCCATTATGAACTCAGACGTGTCAAAAATAGTAGGGCACCTCTTATACCTGTCTAAAAAGTGTGGAATAGCTGAAACTTGCTTCATTGCTCCCAAGCTCTTGGGAGGGGCAGTTCAGTCACTGGTTATCAGTTGCCTGTTAAGTCAGACAGGCACATGGGCCATGTGGGCTTCAGCAAGTGACTTCCCCTCTTTACACTTTGGGTTCCTCGTCTACAAAATGGAAAGAGTAATATGACTGACCTCTGTGGTTGATGTGAAGATGAAATGGGAGCGCACTCAGCACGTTGCCTATTTAACAAGCACTCAAAAAATTGGCTTTATTATTTCTGGACCAGTATATAGCTCCCATTGAAATAGTTGCTAAGGGCAGCCTTGCCCTGTTTCTGAACTGAAAGTTGAGTGGGATGTCTAAGGGACAGTGCCCGCTAGCAGGTTGCCTTTTGGAGCCCAAAAGACAATGCCTCCTGCTTCTCTCCCTCATTTATTTCACTTACTTCCTTCTCTTCCCCTGTCCTACATGCTCCTTTGCGTGATTGCAGGAGGTGGCAGTGTTCTGTCTGAATGCTTTGGGAACCAGGGCATCTTCAGGAAGCTAGAGAATAGGAGCCCACATCTTGCAATGAGATGAGGCAATCTCTGAAGCATACTTGAGCAGGCAATTAAGACTGGGAGAAGTTGCTGCTTTTCACTATGAGCTGGACTATGAGAGTTCTATTCCTAGCTTATAGCAAGTAGCTTCTGAGACACGAAGCCAATCAGAGGTCCTCACTGTGCCTCAGTCTCCTCATTTGAGAAAAGGAAATAATCATTCTAGGGCTGTGGAGGGTATAATTCAAATGAGGGTTAAAGCGCTTGACAAAAATAAAACATGATCTATGTAGGGTGGCATCATTTAACAGGAATGATTACACAGATCGCAGGATAACGATATAAGCCACCGTAGGTCTAAAATAGTTTTAGAAACAGCTCTGCCTGGAGGCTAAATGACCTCAAAGCACCTTCTAACTCTCTGGTTTTCTGTGACTACAGTACAAC